CCGACCCTCCAAGATTGGAGATCATCAAAACACGAGATCCGAAGCGTGTCGACCCCCAGGAAAGAGCATCTAGAGGAGTCTGTAAGGAATCTTAGCATACAGATGCAGTTCGACCAGTTGAGAAGGGAGCTGGTCAGTGAGTTGAAAGGAGATTTGAAGAATGCTGGAAAGGCGACTACTGAAGATGATGAGCCGGACGAACCTCCTTTCGTCCAAGCCATCATCGATGCACCTGTCAGGCAGAAGAGCCGCCTACTGACCTTCGACAAGTACGATGGGACAAAGGATACCATCGACCATGTGGAGACCTACGAATCGATCACGGATTTCCATGCATACTCAGATGCGATGAAATGCAAGGCATTCACCATCACACTATAGGGACCACCTCGAAAGTGGTTTAGATTGCTGGTCCATACTCAATTGCAAAGGCGTTTGTAGCCCAACTTGCAGCCCATACGGACGCCACACATTCAGATACTTACCTATTTTCAATCCGACAGAGACCTAAAGAGCCCATTAGAGACGACATGAAATGATTTCTTACAAACCAAATCAAGGTCAAGAATTGCACCGATCTGTTAGCTGGGTCCGCCTTTTGCAATGGCGTGACTCACAAGAAGTTAAGTTGGTCGTTGGCAAAGAAGTCGGAGTTGACCTTGAAGGGTTGTTTAGACCGAGCAACCAAGTTTATTGAGACTGAGGACATCATGATGTCCAAGGACGACAAGTATCAGAAGAAGGGTTCTCCGACGAAGTCTGAAAAGAAGAAAGATGAGAAGTAGAACAACAATGGCAATAGTAAAGACGAGAATATGTACCGCCAACAAGACTATAATCAGCGAGATGAGTAGAAGAGCGACAAGCCCCAGAGGTTTAGTTCGTTCACTCAGCTCATAATATCCCTATCTGAGATCCTGGCAAATATACAGGATGCAAACTTAGACTCACTTCCGAGGGAGTTGGGATCGTTTAAGGTGAGCAGAAGACCTCTCGAGAGTGCTATGCGACAGCTTTGAATGGATCAAACACCTGTGCTGCCTATGAGTGAGGAGGAGGTTATCAAAGAGAATTCCGACCTGAGTAGAGCCACATCGGTGGAAGAACTGGAGCTGGTTCTATTACTCAGTCCTGAGAAGCAGGTGAGCATCGGAACCAAGCTGGGGGCCAGGGATCAAGTTGAGCCGATAAACTTATTGAAGACCAACGCCGACGTGTTCGCTTGGTAGCAACAAGATATGCCCGACATTGATTCTAACATCATGGTTCACCGAATTAATATAGACCCCTTCCACCGACCGGTAAAACAAAAGTGTCGCCCTGTAAATAGTGAGAGGAGTGCTATAATCGTAAAAGAGGTGAACAAACTTTTACAAGCCCAATACATAAAAGAAATTCTCTATCCCGACTGGCTTTCTAAGGTTGTCTTAGTTAAAAATCAAACGGTATATGGCCCATGTGTGCAGATTTCACAAACCTAAATAAAGCATGTCCTAAACATAGCTTTCCATTACCGAGAATAAACCAGCTAGTCGACGCAACAGCCAGGCACGAGCTGCTGACCTTCCCGGATGCATACTCAGGCTACAATCAGATCAAAATGTATGAACCTGACCAGCGGCATATAGAAGACCCCTCCCACCAACCTGTAAAACAAAAGCATCGCCCTGTAAATAGTGAGAGGAGTGCTTAATCGTAGAAGAGGTGAACAAACTTTTACGAGCCGAATACATAAAAGAAATTCTCTATCCCGACTAGCTTTCTAATGTTTTCTTTGTTAAAAAATCAAATGGTAAATGGCACATGTGTGTAGATTTCACAAACCTAAATAAAGCATGTCTTAAAGATAGCTTTCCATTACTGATAATAAACCAGCTAGTCGACGCAATAGCCAGGCACGAGCTGCAGACCTTCATGGATGCGTACTCAGGCTACAATCAGATCAAAATGTATGAACCCGACCAGAGGCATATAATGTTCATCACCAACCAAGGCTTGTATTGCTACAAGGCCATGCTGTTTGGCCTTAAAAACGCAGGAGCAACCTATCAACGCATGGTCAACAAGATGTTTGCCAAGCAACTCGGTCGCAACATGGAGTTCTATGTAGACGACATGGTCGTAAAAAGCAAGAAGGCCAGCTCGCACCTTACCGACTTGGAAGAGGCCTTTGTTGTTCTACGACAATATAGTATGAAGCTCAACCCGACCAAACGTGCTTTCAGAGTTTCTTCAAGCAAGTTCCTTAGTTTTATGGTGAACAAAAGAGGAATTCAAGCAAATCCTGAAAAAATCCGAGTTGTGCTCGAGATGCAGCCTCCGAGGAATTTGAAGCAACTATAGTGCCTAAATGAAAGAATAGCAACCCTAAAGCGATTTGTATCTCGGTCGACCGACAAGTGCTTGCCATTCTTCAAAGCTCTGAAAATAAAGGGGCAGTTCGAATGGACCCCAGAGTGTAAGGTCGCATTTGAACAGCTCAAGACTTATCTGAGCTCGTCTCTCTTGCTAGCAAAGTCGGTCCAAGGAGATCGCCTTTTTATTTACCTCGCAGTATCAGAAAAGGCAGTCAACTCAATGTTAGTAAAGCAGAAAAAGGGATGCCAGAGTCCCATTTACTACACAAGTAAGGCCATGATGGATGCGGAGACCAGATATCCTGTCATAGAGAAGCTCGCCTTAGCTCTAATCACAATAGCTCAGAGGCTCCGCCCCTACTTTCAGGCTCATTCGATTATGGTCCTGACAAACTTCCCCCTTCATCAGATCTTTCAGAAACCTGGAACTTCAGGCAGGTTGATGAAGTGGGCGCTTGAGCTTAGTGAGTACGACATAGCATTTCAACCCCAGACAGCCATTAAAGGCCAAGCAGTTGCAGATTTCATAGCTGAGCTGACCCCGTCGATTAGCTCAAAGCCGGACATTGTGGAGCCTTGGACAATGTATGTGGACGACTCCTCAAACGATAGAGGATGTGGAGCTGGAGTACTCCCGACAGTTTCAGGTGGCATGAGATTCGAGTATGCTCTTCGTTTCAATTTTCGAGCTTCCAACAACGAAGCAAAGTACGAAACCCTTCTTGTCGGACTATGAATGGTGAGAAGTTTAGGAGTTCAGCATTTACTCATTTATAATGACTCATAGCTCATCATGAATCAAATTACGAAAGAGTATCAGGCAAAATATCTGAAAATGAAAAAGTACCTAAGCAAAGTCAGAGCACTATTGACCGAACTGACAAAGTACGAGATCCACCAAGTTCCAAGATCAGAAAACATGAATGCGGATGCTTTGGCTAAGCGGGCCTCTGCATATGAAACTGACCTTGCCTGGTTAGTTCTAATTGAAATACTCAACAAGGCCTCAATCTTAGAGTCGGATGTGATGGACATTGAGGATCGACAACTCAACTAGATGGATCTGATTGTTGAATATCTGAAGGACACCATACCCCAGAACCGAGCCGAAGCTTGAAAGCTCCACCACAAAGCAGCCCACTACGTCCTGAGAGATGAAAAGTTGTACAAGCGCATATTCTCCTTGCCCTTGCTAAGATGCCTTGACTCACAGGAGGCAGACTACGTCATGCGCGAAGTTCATAAAGGGGTGTGTGGTAATCACTCAAGGGGTCGAGCCATGGCAGTAAAGATTGTCTGCCAAGGCTATTACTAGCCAACTATAAACCAGGACACAAAAAACTTCGCTCGGAAGAGCGACAAATGCCTGAAATTCGCCAACATTTTACGACGAGCTACTCACACCCATCACAAGCCCCTGGCCCTTCGCATAGTGGGGAATCGACCTCATTGGTCCCATGCCTTTACTTGGGGTCAAGTAAAATACGCAGTCATTGCTGTTAATTACTTCACCAAATGGGCTGAGGCAGAAGCATTGGCAACCATCTTAGAAGCCAAGATTACCAACTTCGTTTGGAGCAACATCACATGCCGATTTGGCATTCCTTACGCCATAGTCACTAACAATGGCAAGTAGTTCGACAATCGAAAGTTTAGAGATTTCTACTCTCAACTTGGAATCAAACACTTTTGCTCATCCCTGCCCATCCCCAAGCTAATGGCTAGGTCGAAGTAATTAATAAGATGATCAAACGAGGACTGAAGCTCAAGCTAGAAGAGTGTAAAGCAGGTGGCGAACAACTTCCCTAAGGTGCTTTGGTTGTATCGAACTACACCTCGGAGCTCTACAAACTAAACACCTTTTGCGCTAACTTTTAGCTCAGAGGCAGTAATTCCAGTTGAGGCCGATATGCCGACTGCTCGAGTGGAAGACTTCAATCAAGAGGCGAACGATGAAGCAATTCAACTCAACCTATATCACTTGGAAGAAATGCGCATCACAACCCAACTACAGCTCGCGGAGTACCAAAATTGAGTGGGTTAATATTATAATTCTCGAGTTAGACCATGAAGTTTCAAAGAAGATGACCTGGTACCGTGCAAGGTGCAAAAAGTTGCCAGAGCATTCGAGCCGACCTGGGAGGGCCCTTATCAAGTGGAGGGTATAGTGCGACCTGGGACGTACATGCTCACCGACTTGTCAGGAAAATTGCTGCCCCATCCGTGGAACGTTGGGCACTTGAAAATGTATTACAGTAATTCTTTTGACCACTGAGATGAGATGTAATTGTAACTGCAGTTTTATACTATCAATGAAATTAGCACTACTTATTTGAGCCACAGCACCTTTCACCGAGCTGAGCTCAAATAGGGGCCACAGTGCATCCTTCTACACTAATCGACGAAACATTTTCTACATCCTACTGAGCCAGGAGCTAGCTCCGTCTAATCAAGTGAGCATCGAGTTCGCTAAGCTTGGTTAGTTGTCTTATGTTAAAGTCACCTCAAAAAGGTTAGCTAACATAAGATGTAAAATAAATCTTATAAGCACACTAAAACTCCCAAGAGGGTAAGTGCTCAATGTACCCTACCGCATTTAATTGATAAAGGCAATAAAAATGAGTAGACAGATAAAGTAACGAAAGAGTAAAAATCAAAATTCATTAAAAGTTGTCGTGAGTACAAAAGAGGTCGAGGTAAATATGCCCCGACTTGGGAGATAAACGTTAAAGTAAAAATAGTCAACAAAAGAAACGAGCTGAGCCACCTACGCCTGAAGAGTATCCTGGTTCTCCTGGGAGCTCGTGCCAGCGTTATCGACATCTTCATCCTTTGAGAAGAGTTCCTTCACGTATTTGGTAATAACCTCCTCTGAAGCCTTGGTTTTGTCAGGAAGGGTGGTCCATTCCTCCACATAGATCCTTTTCATCTTGGTAAGATCTATGTTGGGGTGGGTCATCTTCAGCTCCATGATGGCGAATTTGAGACCACTGCCCATAAAATCCTTCGCAAATGGGGTGTACGATGGAGTCTTCTTAACCATTTCCTTGGCATACTTCCCATCGCTAAGCTTGGCACAAATGTCTCGGAACTCCTTCTCAACGACCTCCTTCTCAGCACGTGCAGAATCTAGGTCTTGTTTGAGCGAGATGGTTTTGGCTTCCAAAGCTTCGAAGTTGTGAATCCTCTCAGTGACCTCCTTCATGGTGGCCTTGCATTTGGCCATTTGATCATTCATCTCAGTCATTGTGTCATTGGCAGCTTGCCTTATGATGCACGATTTCATCTCTACTAGCCTTGCCCTCAAGTAGGGCAATCTTGCACGACTCCTCATCCCGCAGCAGCTTGTCACGCTAGTCTAGCTCAAGCTTGGTCTACGCTGCAGTTTGGCAGACCATTAGCATGACCTGTCAAAAGCAAATAAAAGCAACATCAGCTCAGCTTAAAAAAAATGAAAGAAAATCTTATGTCAACTGCAGCATCCATGGCCCTTTGAAGGATGCCAGCTGCAGGCATCATCGCAAGGCGTTGTCATTTGACTGCCCTAGAAAAGCAACTCCCAGCGACCTCTTTGACTGCTGCCTTGATTCCATCACTTACCGTGTTGGCATAGAAGTGCATCTTGAAATCTTGATAAGCCGATCTGAGCTCTTTTGGAAGAAGGCTCCCCCACCTTTTCGCATGGCACGACTTCACGCATTCTCTTTTGTGGCCTATTTTCCTTCTTGTCCTTCTTTTCCTTCTTCTTCTTCTTCTTTTTAGGGGAAGACCTAACCTTAGAGGCGGGAGGAGCAACAATGTCGTCATCCAAGACCACAGTTTCAAGATTGACCTTCTGAGCAGGAGCCTTCGCAATGGGTGCTTGAGCCGAGCTGGAACCTTTCCCCTCAGTTCTCTTCACTCAGTTGAAAATTTGGGGCAGCATTTCTGTTACTACAGAAGAAAAAAAAAGGAATAGATATTAGCATAAATCAGAGCACAGGAACTTGGGTTGAGAAGGGACCCAGCTGTATCTGAGGGGGCAGACTAAGCTTTTGAGTCAAAGAGTTTGTCAAAGAACTCGTAGGGACCACACTCGATTAATGCAGTGTCTGTCCGGAGTAGTTTCGCAGTCACTTGTCGACGTCAGTCTCTTGGACTTTTTTCAAGTATGACCTGGTCAAGTCAGTCACTTTTTGGAGTAGGATTTGGAGTAACTGCACAAGAAAGATCCAAAATTAGAAGTGAACATGTAACGCCCCGCGTTACTCAAGTTAGCTTGCCTCGAGTTCCGGGAAATTTTTATAACAAAATAGATTTTTATTTATTTATTTATTTCATTTTATTTTGTTTGATTCATCAGTTATCTTTATTTAATTTAAGTGTGGCATCTCGGCTATTGTGTATTGCTATAGATTTAGTGGTGAGTTAGTAGCGTGTAGTTATTTATCAAGTTATGGTTTAGTACGGATTCCGCTATGTGACACTGGTTTTGGGCCATTGGGCCAATTACAAAATTATATTATTGGCTTGTTTTAACAAGGAGGGGTTGGATAAGTGGGCATTAAACAAAAGGAAAAGAACCCAAGCCCAAAGGAGTTAAAGTTTTAAAACAAAGAAAAAACTCTAGCCCTTGTTCTTTTCCTCTACTTCTTCCTCCCTTTCCCTCTCTTGTTGAAGCTGCCGGCCACCCCCCACTCGGGTTCTTCTTCTCCGGCGAGCAGCTCCGTTCAGGCGACGCGACGAACAGCGGCGGCATCGGAGCAGCAGGTGCGGCGTCGGCGCGTGGTCTCGGGCAGCAGCAGGTGCGGCGGGGCGGCGCGTGGTGGCTGTTCACGGTGTTTTCCCTCGATCCGACAAACTCCAACGACTCGAATAGCTTAGATCCGGGAAGCGCGGTAACTTTCTTTGACCCACCCTTGTTCGATGTTAGATTTGGATTACCCACACCTAAATGAAATCGATTTGGAATACCCACACCTAAGCGAAATTGTTTTGTAGTAACGGACATCAAATTGAAGCCGTTGGAGGTCATTTTGGGCGTTTCTCGCTGCTGTAAAAATGTG